CAGTCGGTGTTTTTGTGAATGCATGAAGAACTGAGGACAGTCGGGTGGTTCAGTGTTTTTGTGAATTCATGAGGAGCTGAGGACAGTCGGGTGGTTTGGTGTTTCTGGGGTGTTCAGGAACTGAGGACAGTTTTTGTGATTTCATGAAGAGCTTAGGACAGTTGGGTGGTTTGGTGTTTCTGGGATGTTCAGGAGTTGAGTACAGTTGGCTGGTTCATGTGTTTCTGTGAATTCATGAAGAACTGAGGACATTCAAATGGTTTGGTGTCTCAGTGAATTCATGAAGAATTGAGGACAGTTGGGTGGTTTGGTGCTTCTGGGGTGTTCAGAAGTTGAGGACAGTTGGCTGGTTCATGTGTTTCTGTGAATTCATGAAGAACTGAGGACAATCAGGTGGTTTGGTGTTTCTGGGGTGTTCAGGAGCTGAGGACAGTCGGTGTTTTTGTGAATTCATGATGAGCTGAGGACAGTTGGGTGATTTGTGTATTTCTGCTGCTTTTTACCCCACTGCTTCCTTGTAGGACTGAGGCCAGTTCCAAATCTCACCCCAAACCCCACCAGTTAATGGGATCCCGTGCATCCAAACCCTCCTGGTGCTGTCCAAGAGACACSAGCCAGCTCTCTGCTGATGGGAATGCCAAAGCACTTCCAAGAAAGATGTCATGACAGATGACAACTGTTACCCCTCAGAGACTGAAAAATTCTGGTGTGGGCACATTTCTGGGTGTAACTGTGGATGAGTATTTAGGACACTCCCGCAGTTTACCCTAAAGGTACAACCCTGCAAACTGCTGCCCATTCTGGCTCCACTCCAGAGAAACACTCAAATATCTGTGAGCTCAGAAGTCTCTTCACGTGCTTCAAGTGAGCATCTTCAACAGGACAAGAAAGGCAAGAGGGAGGCAGCTTTGCATGCAGTGCCCTGGAGAAAAGATTTCCCTTCCTGGAACGGGCAGTCCCTGGGCAGCAATAAATCCACACGCTAAAAAATAAAGCAATTCCTAAAATAAACAACCGGGGCTACAACAAGTACAATGGGCAATTAGTGTGAATAATTGGGTGTAACTGCAGGCAGGGAGAAGCTGCGAGGCCAGATGTGCGTGCTGAGCTCAACATGGGTTTTACAGGATCTGATCCAGTCAGTTCAACATCTGGAAGGAGAAGAAACACCGAGTGACAGAGCTGCGACACTGAAAATGGCACAGATTGCTGTGAAAATGGCACACATTGCTGTGAAAATGGCACAGATTGCTGTGAAAATGGCACGGATTGCTGTGAAAATGGTACAGATTGCTGTGAAAATGGTACAGATTGCTGTGAAAATGGCACAGATTATTGTGAAAATGGCACAGATTGCTGTGAAAATGGCACA